ATCAGTGAGGAGCCACACAGATGGCAGGTGCATATTAACACTTTTTCATTTTCCTGTGTTGGAGTCCATGAGCTCTTGGCTGATACAGATAGCAGTTGTCATCATTCAGTGTACAGTGAGACCTCAGACACATGGACTGTGATGGGACTGCCATGGTTTCCCAAAGGTCACAAGTTTTCTGCCTTTGACAGGATGCAGCTCACCACTTTTCTATTGCTCTCCAGGAATTTCTTTACCTTTGTCAAAACAATGTACAACAGTGAGTCGAAAATTATCCACACTCTGGTTACATTAAAACTCCTATCCATGTCCATGACTGATGACAACATTGAGCGTGCATGTGAAATGATGCTGTCAAATAGATGAGTGACAGTGGATTATGTGAAAAATGATTTGGAAATCAGCCACGGCTCTACCTATGAAATAATCCAAGACTAAGACTCAATGGGAATACATGAGCAGACATGTACTCTGACTGGTGACCATGTTGGTCACTGATAAGGGGAAGTGAGGGAAAAACAGCAATGAAGCTGTGAGCCTTATCACATTCAATAGACTACCACATTCAATAGACTCCTGTGAAGCCTGGTGGAGACCTGTTTGGCCAGTAGCTTGGCAAGACCTGGGGACTCCTGGGCCCAGAGACAATGACATAGTCACAGAGGACTAGAGTGGAGGTGGAGAGTGAAGCGTCCAGCTGATAAGAAGATAGGGCATATGCACAAGAAGACCCACACTTGCAGATAATACCCACTTGACCTGGCTTCAATGGCTGGATGATCAGAACTCAACTAGAAGAAGAAAGAAGAGGAGAAAAAAGAGTAATCTGATATAATTTAATGAACTTGGCCTACACCTATGGATGCAGTAGCTCAAAAGAGGGAACAAATCTTTACAACAAGGATAATTCCCATCCCCTCCATACACAGACTAGACAGGGATGGGCAACTTGGACATTGGCTACCCAAAATGGGTTTGGGAAGGCTGCAAAGGCAAGAAATAACTGGCTTACAAGCTTTTAAGAGGGACTGTAGATCCAGAGGCTGCAGAGGAAGGTAGAATCTTCACTAAATAGTGTCCGATCTGTCTGGGTGGGGCTGATGAAAGGAGATGGGGATAGTATCATGTGGAACAATAGTGAATAATTGCTATCAGGACTGACTGTGAGGGCTGGAAATGCAAAGGTAAATGTTTTGGAACAAAAGGAGGGGAGTGGTTGACTTTGCAGTCCAGGAGTGGCGGTTCCTGGAACAATTAAGGGAGAAGAGAAGAGTGCGGGACCCTACCCAGAGAACCAGTGACGCCAGAGATGCAGGCAGAGAGGAAGACGTGGAGAGATGGAGTGGCAGGGGACTCCAGAGAGAGAGGGGCTGTATGCTAATGACCAGAGGGCAGGCTTGCAGGTTATACCCTTTAGTTGGTTGATGATGCATGGAAGGGATTGTAACCATGGCAATTAAATGATATATGATAGGATGAATGTAAAGCTAATGTTCTCCCATGAAAACTGTCTCATAATTCACAATAAAACATTAAAAAATTTTGGACAAACACTAGTAGGAAGGCAAAGTTTCTTAAAAAGCCATTACTGGTGACAAGACATGGATTCATTACTACAAGCCTGAGAGTAAATGGCAGAGTATGGAAAGGAAACATCTTCAATTGCCAACCAAGAAAAAATTCAACAGTCAACTATCAGCTAAAAATTGATGCTATAGTTTTCTGTGACTTTTAAGGGCCTATGTGGCATCAGGATTGGAGGAAGACTCATTAACAACCTGCAATATGCAGATGATACAACCTCGCTTGTTTAAAGTGAAGAGGACTTAAAACATTTATTGATGAAGATCAAAGAGCACAGCCTTCAGTATGGATTACATCTCAATGTCAAGAAAACAAAAATCCTCACCACTGGACCAATAAACAATATTTTTATCAATGGAGAAAAGATTGAAGTTGTCAAGGACTTTATTCTTCTTGGATCAACTATCAACACTCACGGAAGCAGCAGTCAAGAAATCATATGACGTATTGCATTAGGCAAATCTGTCACACAAGACCTTTTTAAAGTGTTGAGGAGCAAAGATGTCATCTTGAGGACTAAGGTGCGCCTGACCCAAGCCATGGTATTTTCAATAAGCTCATATGCATGCGAAAGTTGGACAATGAATAAGGAAGACCATAGAAGAATTGATGCTTTTGAGTTATGGTGTTGGAGGAGAATATTGAAAGTGCCATGGGCTGCCAAAAGAATCAATAGATCTGTTTTGGAAGCAATGCAGCCAGAGTGCTCCTTGGAGCCCAAGGAGGCCAAACTTCATCTCACATATTTCAGACATATTGTCAGGAGGGACCAGTCGCTGGAGAAGCATATCATGTTTGGTAAGGTGGAGGGTCAGAGAAAAAGACAAAGACCCCCAACGAGATGGATTGGGCAAGTGGCAGCATTGATGGACTCAAGCATGGCAATGGTAGTGAGGTTGGCCCTGGATCGGGCAGTGTTTTGTTCTACTGTGCATAAGGTCTCGATGGCACCTAACAATAACAAATCAGGAAAAAGGTTCAACAATTAGCATTGCACTCATTACAGTGAGATGCTCACTGAAGAGCTGAAGCTCAATTTTGGATTAAACACAGAGGACTGCTATCCAAAGGCATTGTGATCTTGCATGACAATTGCACATCCACACACTTCTGCCCACACTATTGACACTCTTCAAAGACTTTGTTTTGAGATGTTAAAGCATCTTCCCTATAGTACTGATCTTTCTGCACACATTTTTTGTTTCCTGAAAGCAGGCCTTTGAGAATGAAGACTTGAAGATAGCAGTGCATTCGTGCCTCACAGCTCAGCCTAAACCATATTTTAATAAGGGAATACAAAAGCTTGTTGACAGATGAACAAAGTTATTGAAAAGCCAGGGAGATTGTATCGAAAAATAATGTATTTGTTTTTGCTGTAAATAAATTCTACATCTGGAGCGTGCATAATTTTTACTTACCCTCATACTTTGTTCTCTCTGAAGTGTTATAAAAAATGTAACAGAAAGGGAACTATGAAGACTGTGCTGGGAAGTTGGGGCGTTGTTTTCAGCAGTTTTTGGATATGACAGCTGAGTGGCTAATGTCTAGAGGGCCTTTGCACCTAAATAATGGTACAGGGTCGCTATGGGTCGGACCCGACTCGATGGCACTTAACAACAACAACAACAATGGTAGGTTCAAGCTCACCAGTCACTCCTTGGAAACCCTATACAGGGTCGCTATGAGTCAGAACCTACTCAAAAGCACTTGACGACAACAACACACATGCTCACTTTTGTACATGCAAAAAGAAGGATTTACTTGTTTTTAAGGTATCACAAAACAGTGATGCCTAAAATGACCTTTGAAAGAAAATATCATTTTATCCCATTGGCATTAAACCATGAATGCTCTTGGCTGGGAATAGTTATGTTTCTCAGGTTATATAGCGCACTACTCCTGAAAAAGTAGTCCACAAATTCTTTTGCATGCTAGGCTTTCTTTTATAATTGGTATAGATGCATCAACAACAGATTTCTCTACTGAGATTCATACTTGATATCTGAAGGAAATTGCTCTCAGGTATACTGCTATTGTTAAAATTTCTCCTGAGACATCAACTTAGGCTCCCTAAGGGGACCATCTATCTATGTATCTGTCTGTCTGTCTATCTATCATCTATCTATCTATCTATCTATCTATCTATCTATCTATCTATCTATCTACCTACCTACCTATCATCTATCTATCGTCTATGTATCTATCCATCCATCTATATCTTTCTTTCTCACTCTCTTTCTCTTTTCCTGCTTTTTATGTTTTTTAAAAATTTCATTATAACACAATTGTACAGGAAAATTTTGAGGGGGAAAGACATTGTTCTTAGGGCCCACATCTCCTGGATCCTGGTGGTTTCCATGAATAGAAGGTATAGATACTTGGGACGTGCCAGTGAGGACATCCTTAGGAAGTTGTTAATTGTCAGGAACTGATAAGAAGTGGGAAATATCTGTATTCTGAGTTTGGGTTTGAGAAAGGGGAACAGAAAAGAATATGGATGTAGAGACAGCAATTCAGAAAAGCAATGAAAATGAAAGACACATGATAGCCCTTGATGCATCAGCAGAAGGTAACCATGAGTGGTGAAGAGCATGTCAAAGCAGGGAAGAGCAGCACCTCATAGGATGCAAATAGAGTATCCATGTAGCCCTCTTGATTGCCCCAGTTTTTGTTGTTGTTACTGTTGTGTGCCATGGAGTCAGTTTAGACTCATAGTGACCATGTATATAGTTTCCAAGAGCAGCTGGTGGGTTTGAACTGCTGCCCTTTCAGTTAGTGTGGTTAGGAGTTCATTGCTAAACCTACAGCATTACACCATGTGACTTTTGTTGTTGTTGTTAAGAGCCATTGATTTGGTTCTGACTCATAGAGACCCTGTATAGGGTTTCTGAGGAGCGGCTAGTGGATTTGAAAGGTCAATCTTGTGGTTCAAACCAACCTTGTGGTCCAGTGCTTATTGTATAGTACCACACTGTTGTTGTTGTTAAGCGCCATCAAGTTGGTTCTGACCCACAGCCACCCTGCATAGGGTTTCCAAGGAGCGACTGGTGAGTTGAACCACATTAGGACTCCCTTTGTGCCTTAGGAAACTGTGCCAGCCATAAACATAGGAATCTACTAACATTGCATTTTCAGCTTTCTTTATACACAGACTTTTGGTAGGGGTGACCGTGCTGGGAAAAAGTGAAGAAAGAAGGAAGGTAGTCTGAAGATAGGTCACAGGAGGTAATTGTGTATTCTAGGGGTTGTGATTCACTTTTCCACACAAAGCAGTACAAATATGTAATAGCTTATTCCCTTGATAAGCAGGCAGTCTTAGAGCCTGGCCACTAAGAAACCGTCTAGTCCACAAGGAGAGGAAATGACTAGGCCACCCTATGAGCAGGTACGAATGGTGGGGTGGGAAGGGGTACTACCTCTCCAGCGCTGTAACTTCGGAGCCTCTGGAGGTGCTGTCGATGGGTCAGGTGATTGGGAAGACGACCATTCTGTAGAGGGATTCGGGGGTCGATGAAAGTGGTAGCTCGGCTGTTGTGGTCCACAAAAAAAGACTGCAGAAAAAGACACACTGTGTGAGATGGAGTCCAAAAGAACTCAATAACATAAGGGGGCAATATGGGCTCAGTAAACATTTTATTTCTCTTCTTGCCTCCTCCCTCTTTGTATTTACTCAAAACTCATCTAGCTACTAGATGGGGGACTGGGGGGTTGTGATTCTGCTTGCTTAGAAATATTAGTCATTGACAAACACTGCATACTGTTTGTACAGTTTATAAAGTAATGAACGTTGTTAAGTGTTATTGAACTGGTTCTGACTCGTAACAACCCTGTATGGAGTTTCCAAGGAGCAGCTGGTGGGTTTGAACTTCCAACCTTGTGATTAGCAGTGCAATGCTTATCCTACAGTGCCATACCAGGACTCCAAAGTCCTGACTATAATACTTTATTTAACATGGAACGCAAAATAAACAGAGTAGTTTTGTTCTGACTCATACTGACCCCGTGTAGAAAGTATAGTAATACCAATTATTAATAATTTGTAAAGCATTTTATCCAATGTTAAGATAGATTGGTTTTTATTGATTAAAAAATTAGCATGCTGTCACTAAGAAAAAATTTTAAAAGGATAAATATAAAGAAGATAACCACAATTACCTTAAATATCACAATTCAAAGATGATCATGAAATATTTTAGTGGATTTTTTTAGTCTTTTCTTCCACTACGCATGCATATATATAAAAAATACTTTGCCTAACATCAGAATCTACAGTGGTATAAAAAAGTATTTCACCTATTATTTTTATGAGTATCACCTTAGTTTCACAAAATAGTATTTTAATGCAGAATTTCAATGACTATATGGTATTCAGTTTGAATGGAAATATAATAACTAATTTCAGTACTCCATTATTAGGTATTTTGAACTTTTTATTACTTTAAGATAATGCTTCAATAAACACTCCTGTACATAAATCTTTGTGGCATGTGTGATTATTGTATTTACTAAAGTACATGAGTAAAAGTTATTCTTTAAATCTAAAACCAAACTTTTGTAAAACTGGTAGTTACCCTTGAATCTGTTCTGACTAATGGTGATTCTAGCGTGTTAGAGCAGAACTGTGCTCCCCTGAGGTTTTAATGACAGATGATTCAGAAGCAGATAACCAAGCCTTTCCTTTGAAGAACCTCTGGGTGAACTTGAGCACCCAATCTTTCAATTTGCAGGTGAGTGCTTAGCCATTTTCAATAACCAGGTACTTGAGGACACCTGTTGTTGTTGTTAAGTGCCATCGAGTCGGGTCCGACCCATAGCGACCCTGTACAGGGTTTCCAAGGGTGTAAATCTTTACGGGAGTAGAAAGCCTCATCTTTCTCCCGCGGAGCGACTGGTAGTTTCGAACCGCTGACCTTAAGGTTCGCAGCCCGATTCGTAACCACTCCATTAATGCAACGTTATAATATTCAAATTCTGACTTATTTCGGCTATTTATTCTGTCAAATTAATGAATATAAACACATTCGCCTATTATGACTGTACTTCTTCCATTTTTCTTTCACATTTCTGCTTGGTTTAAAAAATACATATGTTATGTGGCTCATTAGACAAACATTGTCGTCTCTTCATTTAATTGTTGCATTGATTAGTGTAACATCTTTCTTTGCTCCTATTTCATGTCTCTTGATTCGAACCCTCCTGTGTATGATATCAATACAGCACTTCTTATTTTCCTCTTATTTTCCCACTATGTTCTCAATTATCCTCTTATTTTTAAACTTTCTGAATCATACCTTAAGTATGTCTTTTACAAACGGGCTCTGTTTGTTACCAAATCTGAAAGTGTTTTCCTCTTGGTGTGTAAATTTACACTGTTTCTACCCATTGCTATAACTGTTATGTTTGGCTTTTATTTTGTTATCGTGTTTTTATCATTTCTACTTTCTTTATTTCCTCGTGGGTTTTTTGCATTTTGTTATAAAACTATACTTTGTTTGATGTGAATATTTTTAGAAATTTGAAAAAGTCCTGCTTCAAATGATACAAATAGTTGCCTTTTAAATTTGTCAAATATCATCAGCCTCTATTTTTCATTTTATCTGGTGTAACTTCCCTTACAATTAGACTGCGTGTAACACTCAGCTAAGAATTTAGCACATTGTTTCCTGTGATTGATTTCCCCTTCTCTTCCTTTTTAGAGTAATCTGAGTGTACTGATACTGATTATTATCATACAATTATTCTATTTTTAGTCTACATATGTTTTTTTGTATTTTATTTTGCAAATCTAATTACCAAACTCACCACTGAATACATTTCGACTCACAGCAATTCTATACAGGGTTTCCAAGAATGTTAATTGTCATGAAAGCCCAGAGCCTCAGCTTTCTTCAGGGAGTAGCTGTTAGCTTTGAACTGCTTTGAAGTTAGCATCCCAGTGTCTATCCTACAGTTTCATATTTTATTTAGGATTAAAGAATATATGTGAAAGCATTTGAATAGCCATTATTTATACTTATTCATTTGGTTGATTTAAATACTCACTCCTGGGTCTTTTATACTATGATTTCCTCATTATGGAAGTTTGGTTTGCCTCATTTGTGATCATCTGAAGAATGGCTTTTGGTGTTTTGTCAGGATGATGAGAAGGGTAAGGTAGGCTCATGAAGTTTTTCCAGTACTCTAACAAATGAATGGCGACAATTCCTCTGGGTACATACTTACTGGGCTATACATCCTGTTGCTCTATGGATTTCTAAAGTTTTATGGGTGAAAAATTTGAAGCTTGTCTGACTTTAAGTTCTTTTGTAAGTAACTTACATAACATCATGTCTTCATATTGATATGATTTTATTAGAAAAACAGAATACGTGTAGATAGAATCTATTTTAATATAATTGGGTGAGTACATTTAATCTGCTCAATTCAATAATTTCTTTTAGATCAGCAAGGGTTTCTTTTTAATATTTAATTAGTATTAATTTTAACTAATAAAATTAGTATCTATACTCAATATTTAATTATTGGGGCTATACCTATAATGCGAGGAGCTCTGGTAGCATAGTGGTTATGAATCGGGCTGTGAACCTTAAGGTCAGCGGTTCGAAACTACCAGCTGCTCCGCGGGAGAAAGATCAGGCTTTCTACTCCCGTAAAGATTTACCCCCTCGGAAACCCTGTATAGGGTCGCTATGGGTCGGAACCGACTCGACAGCACTTAACAACAACAACA